CCAGAAGAATGAACTAGTCATTAATACATATGTATCAAGAAGAAACTAACAAGCTCTTTCACAACTCACCAAATTCTGAGAAGTTAATACATTGTCCTAGGAAAATCCAGGTATAGTTGGAATATGGCAAAGATGGCTATCTGAATGGGAGACAGATTACACCACTCCCACATTACTCCAACAAAACTCTTGAGTTTGCAGCAGACTGAATATTAACTAGGAAATCCAGTGAGCAACCACAGATTTTTAAAAGGCAAAGAGATACCAGACAGAAGTTCATAAGGAAAAACAGAAAGGTAGGACAGTTTTGAAAAGTAACACGTAGAATTTATTATATATTTTTTTTAAAAGCAAGTGGCGTGAAATGGAGATTCATGGTTTCATATTGAGTTCTCTTTTCATATTCTATTGTGTGTATAGATATGTCCTTTCTTAGGTGTGTAAGTTAATTTTTTTTTGGGGGGGGAGGCAATTAGAGTTAAGTGACTTGCCCAGAGTCACACAGCTAGTGTTATGTGTCTGAGGCTGGATTTGAATTCAGGTCCGCCTGACTCTGGGGCCTGTGCTGTATTCACTGCACCAGTTAGCTGGCCAGAAAAAAAAAATTTTGAAGAAGAAGAAGAGGAAGAAGAAGAAGAAGAGGAGGAAAAAGAAGAAGAAGAAGAAAAAGAAGAAGAGGAAGAAGAGGAGGAGCAACTGGAAATTCAAGAAAGCCAAGACTAAATCTACACATATGGTAGAATATTGGTTCATAGGATTTACAACTGGAAGGGTTTTAGAAATCATTTATGCCAACTTCCTTGTTTTTCAGGTAAGAAAACAGGCAAGTGAAGCAACTTGTCCAAGGTCACACAGATACCAAGGAATAGATTTGAGCTTCAAATTCTCACAGTCTTCCAATTCCTAATCCAGTACTCTTTCTTTGAAGAGTTTGATAGTACAAGTGGGAAATTTAGATGGGGGAAAAATAAAATAAAGAAGGCTCACAGAGAATCATTTATGTACCACTACCCCTTAGAGAACCAGTTTTTTTCTCAGTCAGTCCACAATTCACCCCCTTCACAACCTCCTCTGATTTCTCATCTATCAAGGCAAAGCTGAGAAAGATAGTCATAAATTTGCTCTTGGAGACTGTGTTGATCCTGCATTAGTCTCAGTGGACCCATGAAAAGTGGCCATGATGAATGTGACCTCACAAAGAACCAGCACATATATTTCACCCATTTCTGCTAAGTAGCCTGCAATACTCTTGACACCTTTTTGTTACTCTTCAACAGAAAGGGAAATTATATCAGTGCTCACTGGGAGAAGAAAAAAAAGTCTAAATCTGCGTTGGTTAAAAAATAGGGCATAGTCAGACATATATGAAACAAGTTTGGGTTTTTTTTTACTACAAAGGAACTTTTAAAGATTTTAATATTAAAAACTCTCAGATGGAAATATAGCTTAAAAGAAAGGAGAAATAAAAAACAACAACCACCTATGTGCCTTTGATTAATCCCAATAAGGAAGAATAAGGAAAGACTCTGAAGAGACCAATTATGACTACAGATCAGTCATCTAGGCTTGAAACCCAGGTGTCACCCCAGACTCCTCATACTTTCTCATCTCCAATATCCAATTAGTTGCCAAATCCTGTCATTTCTACCTTTATAATAGCTCTCATTAATGGGCCCTTTTCTCTTCTGACACTTCAAACCACCCTGGTCTAGATTCTCATCACTTCATGCCTGGATTACTGCAACAGTCTTCTGGTTATTTTCCTTGTTTCAAGTCTCTCTCCACTCTGGTCCATCCTCCACTCAGCTGTCAAAATGATCTTAAAGCACAGGTCACACCATGTCATCTCCCTATTCAATATATTATTCCATTGGGTCCCTATGTCTTTCAGGATCAAATGCAAAATCTTCTGTTTTGGCTTTTTCAAACTCTTCATAACTTCTCCCCTTCCTCCCTTTTCAGTCTTCTTACACTTCACACACCCTCACCTACTCTGCAATCCAGTAACACTGGCCTCCTTGCATTCCTCACAGAAGACGCCCTATCTCCTAAACTTTGGACATTTTCATTAGTTGCTCCCCTTGCCTGAAATACCCTCCTGTCTCATCTTTACCTCCTGGTTTCTTTCAAGTTTTAGCTAAAGTCCTACTTTCTGCAAGAAGCCTTTCCCATATACTAATGCACTGTTGGTGGAATTGTGAATTGATCCAACCATCCTGGAGAGCAATTTGGAACTACAGCCAAAGAGCAATTAAACTGTACATACCTTTGATCCAGCAATACCACTGCTAGATCTATATTCCAAAGACATCCAAAAAGGGGAAAATGACTTATTTGTACAAAAATATTTATAGCAGCTTTTTGTGGTGGCTAAGAATTGGAAATTAAAGGGATGTCCATCAATTGGGGAATGATTAAATAAGCCCTGGTATGTGATTGTAATGGAATATTACTGTGCTATAAGAAATGACAAGCTGGATGATTTCAGAAAAATATGGAAAGACCTACATGAATTGATGCAAAGTGAGCAGAACCAAGTGAATGTTGAACACAGTAATAGCAATCTTACACAATGAAGGACTCTGAATAATTTAGCTATTCTCAGCAATACAATGATCCAAGATAATCCCAAAGCATACCACTGCCTCCAGAGAAAGAACTGATATTGTTTGAAAACAGACTGAAGTATGCTATTTTTCCCTTTTTTCTTTAATTTTTTAAAAATTCGAGTCTTGATTAATATGGAAATATTTTACATGACTGCATATGTGTAACCTATATCTCATTGCTTATCAACTCAAGGAGTGGAGAGGGTAGGAAAGGTGGGAGAGATATAATTTAGAACTCAGAACTTTAAAAAAAAACAACAAATGTTAAAAATTTGTTTTGACGTAATTGGAGAAAAACAAATTATTACATATGTAAATATATATACATACATATGTATGTATGTATGTGTGTGTGTATATACATATATATATATATATGTATATACACACACATATACACGTATATGTGAAAGAAGCCTTTCCCAGTCTACTTTAATCTTACTGCCTTTCCTCTGAGATTATCTACAATTTATTTGACATAATTTCATTGTGCACAGTTGTTTGCATATTGTATTTCTTATCAGGCTGTGAGCTTCTTGATAGCATGGACCGTTTTTATCTTTCTTTGTATTCTCAGTGGTTAGCACAATGCCTGGCACATAGCAGCTGCTTAATAAACGCTTACTGACTTGACCTGTTGACAAAAACCAGGTAACTCAGGTTTTAAAAGAATATATATGCAACCTTGAAGAAAAGGCACCTAAAACAAATGCAAAATATGCAAACCCAGAAGAATGGTGTCAGGAATGATTAAGCTCAGTTTGAACTGAGACTTGCAAAAAATCTTTGTTGTTGTAGGGACTACAACAACAACAAAAAAACCCCAAAACGGTAGGGGTGTGTACGTGAGCTGGTGGTAGGGGGTGGTACGCATGTGCACGCACACATATATTTAAAGCTTATATATACTAGGATATACAACTAGCAGGGATCATCGAGAATATTGAACCCAACTCCTCCATTATACAAATGAAAGGAAGGAGGTTGTGACTTGACTCAAGTCAAAACTTGTAACAGCCAGAATCCAGCCTTCTGACTCAAAATCCAGCGATCTTTCCAATGTACCACAACTGTTCTTGTTTGGAGTAAGCCAGTGAACAAGGAAATGATAGGAACCATTGTTTGGGGAAGACAGTATAGTGCTAACTGATGCCAGAAGTCAAGATTACTCAACAGTTATTTCCTTTCTGTGTTTCCACTAAGGAGAATGAACTTCAAACTGGAAAGCACAGGATAAACACTCTTAAGGGGTAGCTGAAGCGCAGGATAGAATATAAGATAGGAAAAGGATTAGTTGGCTTAGTAGATGGAGTGTTGGACTTATCAAGAAGGCCTGAACTTAATTTTTTAAAAAAAGGCCTGAATTTGAACCCTGCCCCAGATACTTGCTAGCTGTGTGACCCTGGGCAAGTCATTTAACCTTGTTTGCATCAGTTTCCTCATCTGTAAAATGAGCTGGAAAAAGAAATGGCAAACCACTCCAGTATCTTTGCCAAGACAACCCCAGTAGGGTCATAAAGAGTCAGCCACAAATGAAAAGACTGAACAACAATACAGCAAAACAGTGAAATGGTCACTAGAAAACAGGTCTCCTGACCTGTGCCTCTATTCCATGACACTTTCACTGATATGGAAAACAGGAGTGGTGACAGAAGATTGGAGCTGAACAAAAATTGTCCTGATTTATAGAAAAAGCAAAAAAAAGGAGACCCCCAAAGTACAAATCACAAACCTGATGGCACTCTCTATGAAATTTCTATAATAGATTATTAGTTGACATTATAGTAAGCTTAGGAAAGGAAAAGGTAACTGTGACCTATTGCATAGGTTCACTAGGAACAGAATTAGCCAGATACACCTCCCTTTTCTGTAGGTTTATGAGGCTAGTGGATTAGGGGGCTGATGACATAGCATTTCTGGATTTCTGTAAAGTTTTTGATAAATTTTCTCTAATATCACTGTGCACAAAGAGATATAAAGGTGGTGGATTAAAGCATTGTTAGGTAGACCTAAAGATAGTTGATTAATAAGGGGAAGTAAATCTGGAAAAAGAATTCTAAAAGAGATGCTGCAGGCCTCAGTGCTAGGCCATGTTTTGCTTAACATTTTTTTCATCAACAACTTGGACAGATAAGAGACAGCATGCTTATGAAGTTTACAGTTGACACAAAGCTGTGACTGGAATGATGGAATCAGGATTCACAAAGACCTTGAGATGAGCTGGCCAAAACTGACGAGATGAAACTTCACAACAATAAATACAGTTTCAAAGAAAATCAGTCACAAAAGTACCAAATGTGACAGACCTGGCTTAACAGTGAGCTGAGAAATGACTTGCGGGCCATTCTCAAACTGCCATGAACCTGAGCTCCAGCTCTCCCTCTGATCTAGAACTCAAGACCCCTCCTTGGGACCCTGAGCTTCTCCTTGGTGACTGGGGAGCACTCATTATGTCCAGCCTAGATCCTGACTCACCACAGTCTTCAAAGCTATCTCCACGCCATGGTACCATGTATGTACCCTTCCTTCCCTACTTGCCTTCCAATTCTACTCTGAGTACAGTAACCATGTTATCACATCTATCTCTAGAAAGGACAAGTCAAATAATTTCCTGATGACTAATCACTATTCCTGTGACTTCACTGTCCAAAACACATCTCCTTGCCCAAATCTCCCCTATATGGCTTGTCTTCCTCTTTATAGAAAGTAAGCAACCTAAGGCTAGGGACTGTCTAGTTGGCTTGTATTTGTATCTCTAACACTTACTCTCCCAGAGTGCCTGGCATATAGTAGTTGCTTAATAAATGCTTTTTAAACTTTTTTTTTCAAAAAGACATGCAACTGAGCTAATCACAAACTCAAAAGAACCCTTCAATGTAATGTAGCTAACAAAAAACCTAATGGAATCATAGGGTGCATTAACAGAAATATCTATTCAGCAAAGGAAATAACAATTTTGCTATATTCTGCAATGGTCAATCCATATTAGGAATATTATGCCCAGTTATGCTTGCCACTTTTACTCTTGCCTCACTTTAAGAGGCACCCTGGCAAACTAAAACAAATCCATATGAAGAGCAGTGGGCAAGGGCTTGAAAATCATGTCATATGAAGACTAGCTGAAGAAACTGGGGGTGTTTAGCCCATAGAAGAAAAGGCTTATAGCGGATATTGAGATGTCTAACATTTATGTAGTACTTAAAGATTTGTAAAGAACTATTACATATTATTTTGATCTTCACAACAAACCCGGGAGAAAGGGTCTATCATTATTCCCATTTTACAGATGAGGAAACTGAGGCTGAGAGCGGTGAAATGATTAGGCCAGCATTACATAGTTATTAAATGTCAATAATACATAGGCACAATCCCCATTCTATACCTCCAGTTGCCTACACTGAAAAATGGCCTTCAAACATTTAAAGAGACTTGGATAACAGGAATTTGGCTTATTCTGTGTAACTCCCTAGGGGAGCGCTAGGGCCAACAGGTGGAAGCTATAAGGAAAGTTTCTCAGTAAAAGGAAAGGTTTTGTAACAATGAGACTGTCTAACAATGGAAGGAGCCACAATGTGAGACACCCCAAGTGTTCTAAAAGAACCTGGATAGAAGGATACCATGATGGGACTCTTGTATCTGATGGAAAGCTGGATTAAAAGGAAAATTCTCTTATTTTTCTTTAAAGGCTTAAGTTAAGTGGTTAAGTGACTTGCCCAAGGTCACACAGCTAGTAAGTGTCAAGTGTTTGGTCTGAGGCCAGATTTGAACTCAGGTCCTCCTGACTTCAGGGTCTGTGCTGTATCCACTGTGCCACCTAAATGCCCCTAGAGGAAAGATTCTTAATAATAATAATACTAATAACTAGCATTTATGCAGTACCTAAGCACCTCCTACATGTCAAGCACTGTGCTAAGTGCTTTACAAATATTATCTCATAACAACCCTGGAAGGTAGGAAGCATTGTTAACCCCCATTTTACAGTTGAGGATCCTGAGGCCAACAGAGGTTAAGTGACTTGCCCAAGGTCACACAGCTAGTAAGTGTCTGAGGCCAAATTTGAGCTCAGGTCTTCTTGACTCCAGGTCCAGAACTCTATCCAATGAACCACTTAGCTTTCTGTTGTACCACCTAGCTAGTACCTTTTTCTGTCTCTCAATCCCTTTTGCCAGTCTGGTATAACCTACTGAACTTTTCTCAGGATAGTGTTTTTAAATGCATAAAATTAAATATGGAGGATTACAAAGTAAACCAATTATACTCAAGTGCAATTAACAAAATATTTGTTTTTAAAGTTCACAGACTTCAGGTTAAGAACTCTGATCTCTCCCAAATGTAAAATTCTGCAATTCTAGGATTCTTTGTATTAAAACTCTTCTAAGGTCACTCATACAAGGTATGTGACATTTCACCTGTACTTTCTCAATTTTATTTATTTTTTTACCATTTCAAAGTCATATAGGATGCTTTCAAATTATAGCATGTCCTTTATTGTTGAAGCCAGATTATGCCCCCCCCATTCTCCCCACCACTACTATTGTACCTTTTTTTAAAAAAAAAATGGAAATCAAAAGAAAAACAAATCTGTTTTTCTCTCTTTCTCTCTCTCTCAGCTCTGTATGCATGAACATGCCAAGATGAGTCACAAAGGATGCCCCATTAGGTGGGGACTAGGGTGATTACAGACGTGCAAAGAAATGGTTGCCAAATCAGGATTAAAGTGTTTTCCAGGTTTCAGTATATGCTTTGTGTGGCTGTCTTTTATTAAAAAGAAAAAAAAACAGAAAAAGCAGCAGCAGCAGTCTTGTTTAAAGGCTAGCTTCTCATTTCAAGTGGTACCTAAGATTCCTCTGTCATGCTGCTTTCCCCATCACAGATCTGACGTGAGAGAGATCACAAGGCAGTAAAAGATGGGTTTATATAGACAGATGAAGGGGATCCTTTATCTCTGCTTTTTCTATTAATTACATCCACCAAACTGACCGTTTGTCATGTGATCTTTTCTCAGTTTGGATTCCATTTTTTTCACTTTCATAGTATAAAGGCATTTATAATTGGTGATGCTTCCGCAGAGTTAATAAGGAAAGTGTTTTGGAATGTTTATGTCCTGCACACTGGTGTAGCTCATCAATAAATAAATAAACACAAATAAATGAATGAATGAATACATATTATATATGTATATATGTCTATGTGTGTCTGTCTACATATATATGCATATGTATATACACACACGCACACACACACATATAATATTCACTTTTAAGTAAACCAAAAACACTGTTCTTAATTCACACATGGTTGTTAAGAGTACTGTGAAGGGATATTTAGGACATAAATTATTACAGAGCTCAGTGTAAGTATCCTCATATTATTTAGAAATTCTGTGGTTAAAAGTCACTTTTAAAATCTTTGCCTAACTTAGAAAGAGCTTCTTCACAACAGAGCCACAAACAGAAGTATTTGCATCATGAGTCTACATACAAACAAACCCTCAGCTGTTTCAGGAAGAGAATTCTCACTTTCTCTCACACTAGGATATGACAGATTTCTAGAAGATTACTCCCATATTATGTGTCATATCAGATTTGTTCCTCAGTGAAGATACTTTTGCTGTTTTGAGTGTGTTACAATTGTTGTGATAATGTAAGCATTCCTTGCTTACCTTGCATCTTCTCCAATTTACTCATATACAAGTTAAAGAGGGAGTAGATTCTCTCTGTCTCTCGGTCCCCATCAATATCAAGCTGTATGTTTGCTGGAAGGCCACTATAAAAAAAAAAAGAAAAATAAGTTTATGTGTTTTTTCAAAGCAACACTATTATCAATATTTGATGCTCCCCAAATTACTACCCAAAGAATATGAGTAGGTTCGAAACTATTGGGACCACTGACTTTCTAGGACTATAAAATAAACAATAAACAACCTTTAAGCAAGGTTAAAAACACGTGTGGGGAGGACAAGGAGTGTAGATGCAGGAACACACATATATATGTACACTGGGGAGATGTATCTATATATTAATTCAAGTGAAAAAGACCTAGAAATTTGCAGTTGAGACCAAGATTAATGTAAGTCAAGGATGTGATGTGGCAACCAAAAAAAAAGCTAATGGAATCTTAGGACGCATCAAGATCTAGAATCTAGAGTTGGGATTAGATCAGTTATCCTATGCAGTTGAGACCATATCTACCATACTTTGAACCATTCTGGGTGCTACAGTGCCAAGATTTACAGAGACACTGATACATTGGAGGACATCTAGAAGAGGGTGACTAGGGCGTTAAGATGTTTAGCCTGGAGAAGGCTGCTGGGGGAAGAGAGTGACAGAGCAAGAGAGGAAGAGAGAGAGGGAGGAATGGAGGGAAGGAGGGAGAGAGAGAGAGAGAGAGAGAGAGAGAGAGAGAGAGAGAGAGAGAGAGAGAGAGAGAGAGAGAGAGAGAGAGAGAGAGAGAGAGAGGAATGGAGGGAGGGAGAGGGAGTGAGAGAGAGAGACAGAGAGAATGAGAAATGTCTTCAAATCCTTGAAGGTCTTTCAGATGTACAAATTGTTACGAGATGTGTCTCCAGAGGGCATAACTAGGAACAATATGTGGAAGTCAGAGAAATTCAGGAATAAGCTCAATGAAAGGAAGAATTTCCTTAAACAATTAAAGTGACTCAAAAATGGAATGGACTGTCTTAATGAGGGAAAGACTCCCAAGGTCATTGGAAGAGTATAAGCCAAGGCTAAATGCTTTGTAGAGGGGATTTATGACTCAGGGCCTGGACTGGAATCTATAGTTCCATGTATGGAAGACCTCAAAGTGACTTTCTCAATTCTGAGAACATACGGATGTGTGTGTGTGTGTGTGTGTGTGTGTGTGTATTTTTACAATCTTCAAGTTAATTTGTACTGATCTTTAGTGTTAAAATTGTAGTAATTCACACTTTTTCCATCACAGCCCTCTACAGTCTCACCCTGCTTGACAATTCTTACTTGTCTTATCTCATGCTAACCCCCACAATGTACTGAACCAAACTCTGCTCCCCAAATATGCCCTAAATTTCCCCACCTCTTGACTTTGCTCTTGCTTCTCCCAATGTTTACAATGTCCTCCTTCTCTCTTTTGGCTTTATTTAAATTCTATACATTCTCCCATTCAACCCAAATGTTGTCTCTTCCATGGAGTCTTCCCTGACAACTGTCTCTGCTGGGGATGACTTTTTTAAATAAAGGATGTCACCTAGTTTCTTTTTTGCACTTCAGACCACTGGTGCCTCACAGGTACCCTTCTCTGCCACCCCAGGCTTTCCAGATCCCCTGTTGTCTTCCCCCAGCAGAATGTAAGTACCCTGAGGACAGGCACTATCTTGGTTGTTTGTATTTGTATTCCCAAGGCTGAGCACAGTGGCTAGCACTTAATAAATGCTCTAGCTAACTATCTTATCTAGTCTCCATTAAAGTTATTTGTGTGTCATAGATGCCTCTTTACTAAATTATAAGCTCCCTAAGTGTTGGGACCATCATTCGACCATGACATAGCTAACCTTAGTACTGCTTCCAGTGAGAGTCTAATGTCTGTTGAATTTCATTACAAAGCAAAAACCCCAAGTTTACATATGGGGCTATTACAACTCATTAGGGAATTGCTTTTTTAAAAATACAAACACACATAAACAATCCCAACCAACTTCAAACCCGAAGTACTTTCCTCCCTTAATGCAGTGTCCCAAAAGTTTTAAATGCAGTTTCAAGCTTTAATAATTTCAGAAGTATAAATGCTTAAAACAACAACTTTTAAAAACAACATTTGGAAGGTTATTTAAAGTTTTAAAATATGTATGTGTTTTTTATTAACATTCAAAATAATTGTGATGTTATTATCCATAGCCTGGTCAATTTTTGAACTTCATAAAAGCTCTTATCAGCTGCTTTTGTAATCTTTGCCTTAAGCTTATCCAAAGAATGAGTTTTTTTTTTAATTGTCTTCAAATTCATTAATTCAACAAGTATTTATTGAATTCTTACTATGTGCAATGTACTGGGCTAGGTTCTAGGGATGCTATAGTGGAGATCAACACAGTCCTTATATTCAAATAGGTTATAATATGATGGGGGATAAGACAGGTATGAAAATAAGAGTGATGGAAGGAAGAACTGGAAAGAGGAAAGGAAAGGGTCTAGATAAAACATTATAAAAAATCTGAGTAGGCAAAGATCATTTTCATCATGGAGGAAGGGAAAGTTGGTACTAGAAAGGCTGCAAAGGTAAGAAAGGACAAGAAGGAAGAGAAAGATTTGAAGGGGGAAATGTGACTATAGAAGGAAAAGATGGAATAAATATTGGAAGGTTGTATCAACAGGATTTCGCCCCTGATTGTATATGGGGGGGGGGGTAGACAGCGGGAAGAGCCAAGGAGGAGTTCAAGGTTATGAACCTGGGTGCCTAGAAGGATGATGGTGTTGTCCATAGACAGAGAGAAGTTTGGAGGGGAAAAAAGATATGTTCAGTTTTAAATAGGTTGAGTTTGAGGTACTGCTAGGACATCCAGATGGAAGAATCGACCAAGCAGATGGACTGAGCAAGATGTAGAGATATAGATGTCATCATCATCATCATGATGGACATTTATATAATGCAGCAGAGTTTTCAAAGCATTTTTCTTCTAGCACCAGAGATAAAGAATGAGATTTTGATGCATCACAACAGTTTCAAAGTGACCCCAACAAGAAAAGGTCCAGTGGAGATAGATCAGGCAACTGACATACATGGCCAAAGAAGAGGCCTCCCTTTACTAACTGATGCAGCTAGGCATAGTAAATATAGAGCCAGGAGGTCCTGGTCCTATGAATCCAGAGCCTCTGGTCTTTTTTACCATAGTTTAATGATTCAATGGATAAAATGCTGGGTTTAGCATCAGGGAGAGAGCTGAGTTTAAATGCAATCTCAGACACTTACTAGTTTTTGTTGTTGTTTTTACTAGCTGTGTGACCCTGGACAAGTCACTTTACATGTCTGCCTCAGTTTCCTTATCTCTAAAATGGGGATGATAATAGCACCTACCTCCCAGGGTGGTTGTGAGGGTCAAATGTGATAACATTGGTAAAGTGCTTAGCATAGTGCCAAGCACAAAGGAGGTGCTATAAAAATGGCTATTCCTTTGCCCTTCTACTTGGATCTACTGGTCTGAGAAAGGGTCATCCAGAAACTTTCACACCTGACAATAGGAAGCCCCATGCTGTGAAAATTAAAATTAAAAATTTATTATTCAAAATTGACAAAAACATAAAAAATTTAAATAGTTATACTTTTAAATTATTTTTATAAGTTTGTAGCATCCCTTCTTTTCATTAGCTGTTACATGCCTCTGCAGGTAGATGCTTGTGTTCTTGCAGACCAGCATGAAGGAAAGACAATGAATGGCCTCCCTGGTCAAGGTGGAAAGGGCTGCCACAAACACTGTAGGCCCAGAGATGGTCTCAGGCCTCTCTCCTTCAGGGTTACCCTATGGGTGGCTAACCTAAGAACAATGAGCAGCCCCTCCCCTTACCCTGTACAGGGTGTGCAGCCAGGAGTGGTATCACATGTGGCCTTGCAGCAGAGCCAGTGACCGTTCAGGTATGCTGAGGGGTGGTAGACGGTGAGGCGCTTTTTGTTACACTGGCTGACTTTGGTGAGGATGTCAATCCAGTCCTTGGCCTCCACACAGTTGTTGGCCTGGATGTACAATGCTCGCTCCG